TCTCTCTCTCTCTCTCTCTCTCTCTCTCTCTCTCTCTCTCTCTCTCTGAGAGAAAGTGTATCTTTGGAGGCTGTCCTGAAACTCGCTCTGCAGACCAGGCTGGCCTCGAACTCACAGAGATATGACTGCTTGTCTCCCGAGTGCTGGGATTAAAGGCGTGTGCATCACCTCCAGGCCCACCCCAGATTCTTACAAGTAAAGTAAAAACTATCACTATAGATGTCTTTCCCAGATTGTTCTGTTGATAGGACCTTACAAATAGAAACTTATCCAAGATCTTCAGGCAAATTAAACTTTGGGAAAGAATCTTGAAAAGTTTTGACCTTGAAAAGACAACTTGTTGAAATTAAATTCAGATCCATGGTAGAAAATGCACTTGTGTGACCCAGTGACATGGCTTAGTGGGTAATCCTAAAAACTTGTTTAATTCCCAGAACCCAAATGGCAGGCATGGGGGTGAGGGGATAAGTTGCCATAATACATTTTTTTTAAAGAAAATACACTTTGGTTAATGCCTGGCAAGCAGCAAAAGCCTTCACTGATTCCCAGCACCATATAAAACAGGCCAAACGCTTGGGGGTAGAGGCAGAAAGATCAGAAGTTCAACGTTGTCTTCAGCTGCATAAGGAGACAGGGAGTTGAAGTCAGTGTGGACAAGAAACTATAATGTGTGTGTGTAGGGGGGGGTGTACCCCTATGGAGCACTGATACAGATACAGCCTTTTAGATCACCATTTAGGTTTAGATATCAGTTAACCATTTTGAATTTGCTGTATACCAAGACTGCTAAATTGAGGTTTGCCTGACTCCAGAAACCTAGCTATTTGGCAGTTGCTCCACATAACCAGTCTAGTCTTTCTCCTTTCAGTAAGAAGAGGCTAAAGGCAGCCCACACTGATAGGAGTGGTCCCAAATCACACACAATGTTTAACTGCCCTCATGATCGGAAATCGCTCGCTTGTGTAACGAATATCTCTCCTAACAACCTGGAAATTCATTTCCTCTTGACTGGGTTTTTCACTCCGGCTGTTCCTTGGCAGCTTTCCTGATATCAAAACAGTCATTGGGATCCTATTCCTACACTCCGGGAGGTCTTGGACTTGTTGGCCTCTGCCTGGAGTGTTCTCTCTGGCTTCTTTGAACCCCCCCTTCCCAGACTGTGCTGAGTTGGGCATGTCTCGGGAGTGAAAAGGTGACACTTGAGAACATACTGGTTTATTATTACACAAAGAAGAGTAAAATTAACCACGCGCGATGTCCTGGAATGCCAGCGGGATGAGAGCACCCCCTTGCTGACCCTGTCTGCCTTTTTCTTATTTCTCTGCTATTCTCATCTCTGAAGCTGCTAATTTATCTATTTGAAGGATGCATGCATTGTTCAAAAAATGGGGGGGTGCTCCTGCTCCCAAGTGTTTCCCAGTTACTGTTGGATTTCTGTTTTGTTTCTAAGTGGGTTCTCCTGGCTCCTTTCAGGACCAAATCGAAAAACTAGTGCAGTTTCTGTTGCCAGTGGCTGATCTGTAGCTGAATGTGTTTCTCTTCCCAGAAAATGTACTTGATCTTTAAACCAAGCTCTTCGGTGCCTTTAAATGAGGGGACTAGGGTGTTCACGGTGTCATCAGATAGTCTTTTGTGGGAGCTGCTCCTCCATCCTCTTTCATTCCATTCCCCCAAACAAACTCAGGCAAAGTTACAAGGAGCCTTTTCTCTCTGTACTACTGCCTTTTGTCCCCAGTGGCTCCCGCTGAACTGTTTGAGGTATCTCAGAGTGCTAAGTGTGTATAAATGGTGTGCTTGCCACGCCGCTCATTTGTCATTTCATGTGCCACCTTGCTACCTCCGCTCTCTTTTTAAAGTATACAAATACTCCTAGTGCTCCCTCTACACAAGATCATGAGTGTGCGTGGACTTCTTCAAAGCCCTCGTGGGTGGCTTGTGAAGTGGCAAGAGGGTCATTCTGAAGAAGTGGGACTTGAGGGGTGACAAAAAAGCAGCAACTCTCTCCTCAAAAGGACGGGAGGATGTGCCCTTGTACCGTGTTTCCTGCTTTGTCAAAGCCCTGCTTCTCATCTAGAGCACTGACTCTTGGAACAGAAAATGGTAAGAGAGTGTCCTGGTTCCCAGAAGTGTGGTCAGCTGTGGGAGGAAGAGGGCGTGGTCAGATCAGGGTCTCCCTAGCAGTGTACCTGATAGCCACCTGCTATTCCTTTATCAGTGATCACACCACAACTAAATGAACTACCACTCAGGGCAGAAGGGAGAGATAACCTGTTGGACTTCCTGTTTGAAGTTCCTTTCCTTCTTGAGATAACAGTAGGTCTCCTCAAAGCCAGGGAGCCGCTTGGTTGAAGGGACAGCTGGGTGAGGGCCAGGCTTCAGCCAGCTGAGGAGGAAGATACACACTTTACAGTCTGGTCTCTGTGGCCAGGGCAGGCATCAAGAGTTCCTCAGCTCATCCGGAGAGAGGGAGCAATTGGTCATGCAAGGCCTCATTTACCCTCCTTTGTAAGACCTATACCACTCTTCCTCCTCCCACACTGTGTTTATACTCTAGTCCAGAGCTAAGAGGGCCCAGGATACCTGGATTGACTCTGCTTCTGCTGTTCCAGCAATCTCCGAAGAACTACCTAAAGGAAGGAGAGAGAGGAGGGGAGGTCGAACCCTGTGAGCCTCAGGGTCACTCCTTCCCTTGGAGCCCCGCAGAGGGTCTGGTGAGAACAACTCTGGAGGATAATGGCTTACCTATGCAGTGAAGCCCTATTTCCTCCTCAGCATGGCTCTTCATTCTATTTCCCAAGCTCCCGTAGAACTTTCAGCTGGAAGAAATAGGGTTGTTTTTTCAATCATCCTTCAACCTTCCCAAGCTCAAATAGTGTTGGATCCTTATTTCAAATGGCTTGAGATTTAAGAGGATTTACATAAATATTTGTCCCTGACACCTGTGATCTTAGCTCCCCCCCCATCTCTTCAGGGACAGTCTGTTCTGCTTTGTACTAAAGTTATGTGCACATGGCTTTTCTTCCCTCCTAAGCTGTCAACGTCCTCCGCGCACGCTCTTTCCACTGTTCCGTTCTGTCGCCCTCAGAGCCCTGACTTGGCACATTTTACATGGAATAAGAGTTCAGGCAGTGTGGCCAGGCTGACTGGCTGGCTCAGAGGCTGGAAAGTTTTGAATGAGTCTTTGACTGGATAAAGGGCTTAGAATGGGGCTTGCCTTTCCACTAAGAGGGCAGTTTCAGTCTCCCCACCTCCATTAATGATCACACAAGAATGGGTCACTAGGGCCCCAAGAGGGGAAAGCATGAGTCACACTAGTATCAGAGGAAAGAAGGAGGCCAAAAAAAATCTCTCTTTGTACAAGGTCCAGAGCCATGAGGTGGGGGCATTAACACAATGGCCTTTACTATGTCCTCAGTCTATGGTTAATCTAAATTACTTTATGATGGCAGGGCAATGAAGGAGCTAGAAACTGTTCAGTTTGGACCAGGACTCAGGAAATTTCTAGGAAGCCATTCAGAGCAAGGCTTTCCTTGCTCAACCAACCAAAGGGACCCATGGCTTTTTACCAGGTGGGCTGTGATTTTTCTAGCTGAGGATGAACTTTTAATTCCTCCCATTTAAACTTTCTTGATTTAAAAAAAGCTGTAGGGCTGGGCAGTGGTGGTGTACCCCATTAATCCTAGCACTCAGGAGGCAGAGACAGGTGGATCTCTGAATTCGAGGCCAGCCTGGTCTACAGAGCAAGTTCCAGGACAAACAGCGCTACGGAGAAACACTGTCTTGGAAAGAAAGAACGAAAGAAAGGAAAGAAGGAAGGAAGGAAGGAAGGAAGAAGAAAAGAAAGAGAGAAAGAAGAAAAGAAAGCCTATAGGAGGCACCAGGACAGCCTCAGCCTAAACCAAAAGGCAATTATTTGGCTCGCTTCCCTCATGAACTCTTGTAGGCCATGGCAACCAGAGAGCAGGAGTCCTCAAATTTGAAAAGCAATGCCCTCACCTACCTTCTTGGATTAGGATCACAGATCCATGTTACCTTGGGAAGAGTTGCCCAGCTTATATCCAGATTCTGACACTCTGGAAACTCAGGCTTTACTCAACTCCTTGGTCCTCCATTTCATCTCCTGTGAAACACCTGCTGCCCTGAGGTGTTTGAGGGGATGAAAATGCCTTGGTTGCCACAAGGTGGGTAATCAGAGCCATCTACACTCAGGAACCATCAAGGTAGAGTCGTCAAAGCTAACCCATCTTTCAGCCTCCATTTGTCCCAAGTCAAGCACTGGGAATTCTGGTACCAGACAAGAGATGACTTCTTACCATGCAGCGGGTCCTCCTCTACCCTGACCCTCCTTCTAAATGGACTTGGATGCTGTCTTCGGTCCTGTGCACCAGAGGGTCCACTTCAGACGTGCAAGGCTGGTGTTTGTAATAACCAGCTGCTATATGCTGAGACCCACTAAGTTCAAGGACTGGCAAAGCTGTACTCAGAGGGCCCCATTACTTTTAGTGTTGTATCCCTTATTCGTGGGCTTTATTATTGCCTTATGAAGTCAAGTCATTGGAATCCCTAACTCCCCCAGAGTCAGAGGATTTAGAACTGAGATATTGGATCTTAGATGACAACCTGGCACCCCCTGCTCAGACAGCTAGCATGGGAGGAGCGGCAAGCAGTAATGCTTTAAGAATTCCCACTTCCCAAGATCACCTTGGGTGAACAGGGGAGCCTGCAAGTCTCATTGTTCCTTTGCAGGCCCCAAGTAAATTTCTTTAAACTACATGGGAATTTCTGGAAGGCTGTTCTTATTGGCTGTGAAAATTGTTGGATCAGCAGGGTCCTATTTTCAGAGTCAAGAGACTAGGCCACTAACTCCAGCTATGGAGCCCTGAGAAAACCTTTACTCGTTTGGGTCTTCATTTCCCTATATGTCAAATGGAGGTAATCGGGTCAGGTTCAGCTTCCTCCTGTTCGTCGGTTGGAGAATGAGAGGAAATAGGCACATGACCATTTAATAACCAACTCCAATTAAGTGATTTTCAAATAAAATTATTTTTCTGAGAAAGAATAAGGCCTGGACAAGATGAAGACTTCATTTCTTTTGTGTATGTGTGGGTCTTATCATATAGTCTGGTTGTATTCTCAAAACCTCAAATTTTCTGTGCACCCTTGTGCACAGAGAAACAGCCCCCCACCTGCCCCTCCTAACCCAATTCCTTTCCACCACATGCACCCTGTCTTAACCCTTTTTAGTCAATAAAACAATTGCTCAATCAACAAGCATTTATTGATCATCTTGTGTATGCCCAGCAGTGTTACACTCTTGGGTATACATACAGACAGGTCTAAGAAACAACAACGGCCCTCCAAGCACTTACAGTGAACTTTTGATATCACACAGACAGACAGACAGACAGATAGACACACACACACACACACACACACACAAGTGCACATTCGAGGACCATGTAGCTATCAATCAAAATTATGACTAATAAATGATTTATATATTGGGGAATTTGAGGAGGGAGCAGTACGAGCAGGAAGGAGTGGTCAGAGAAGGCTCAATGAAGGAGGTGATGCTGAGCAAGTTCTCCAAGCATGGGGATGTGAAGAGGAAATGGCTTCCAGGTCTGTAAAACAGCTTGAACATAGGTAACACGGTAGAAAAAGGAAAGGCATGTTAGAGGAAGCCTCATGGACGGGCCTCCCTGGCTGGCACTGAGGTGTGGACGAGGCGTGCTGGGCATCTTCTGAAGTTGGTGATAATAGGCTGGTGGGGGAAAGTCTCTTGTTTCTGGTCCCCACCTATCACAGGGGAAATGGAGTTTTTTAAGACCTTGAAAGTGAAACTGTTCGGCTGAGAAACATTCTCTGTTCCCCTACCTCAAGCACAATCCCAGACGGCAGTTCACCTATCACTCAGGTCATAGATGTCCACCCTGGAAACCTTGCATACCTGCCAAAATGTCTTCTGATGGGCGATGACACGAGTATTAAAAGTGACCAAAGACTTATCTGGCGTTACGGTCTTTCCAAGGCTCTGTAGTGCTCTGAGTATAGACCCGAAGGAAGGGTTGCCTTTCCGTTAAGTCTGAAGTTCCTGGTAGGGCTTCCTCTATGAAACAGTAGGAGCGCATACAACAGCCACTATCCATGTCCACCCAGCTTCTTAGATACCGAAGCCCTTATTCTTTCTTGGCCAGGGTTAAGGCGTAGTGTCTTTCCTAGTCCTTTACAGTCCACACGTTAAAGGGCAGTTCTAGAAAAACTGGTTTATGGTCCCCAAGGAAACCTTTGTCTGGGGCTCCAAGTCTTGTGGTTTAGCCAGGAGGCTAGGCCAGACACCCCAGAGGGAGGCAGGGAGGCAGGGAGGCAGGTGGCTCCGGTGGTGGTTGTTGACTGCAGCTTCTTGGCAATCCCTCGGTGGAGTCAGAGTGCTGCAGCCTTGTCCTTTCCTGGAGGAAGTGATTCTGATTGTCTGGTCGGTCCAGGCGGCCTCCCATCCTGCCCCCAGTTGCTTTCTGCTGGATGCCATGAGATAGCTTTCCTTCAGCTCATTCACAGCCCAGTCTGGACGCGGTTACATTCATAACAAAAGTGGGAGAGAGGCCTCAGGGCCTGCTTCTGATCAGTCCATTTCTTTGGGTGGAGGTTTGAGAAGGGAGCTAGAGCTGTGCTCACAGAAGCCACCATGCTTTCTTCTCTCTGTCCCCCAGCAATTAAGAGCCAACATTAGCCAGAGGCAGAGGGTCTTCTGAGCACAGACGGTCAGTCAGTGGGTTATGATTAGTGGGTTGGGGGCATAGATTTCCAGGTAAACCAAAGATCAGATGGCATCTCTGGGCTTAGCCAAAAGTGGCTCTAGGTTGAGCATTCAAGGTACAGAGGTGCCTTGGTGAGGCAAGGTAAGGGAACTAGAAAGGCTGGCTTGGTGAGTGTCCTTGGCAGTTCCACCTACAGGCTGTCACACCAGTCCCCGTCTCTGCCTTCACTCCATCCGATAGCCAAAGTCGATCTATCCTCAGCAGCACCTTACACATGATTCAGTGGCAATATCCCTTGCCTGCGACCCTCGGGACATTGTCCACTACTTGTTTTTGCAGTCCCAGACCCCACCCCGCCCCACCCCTACCTCTGGCCCCTGGTTCTTCACACATACCCAGTCAAGCTGTAAGAGTTGAACTCACTCTTGGCTTTGGGCTGTTGACTAGGCCTTGGAGAGCTCCTAGTAGCAAGAGGCTGGGCCTGGTAGCCATCGTAGTAGTTGGTACGATTCCCCTGAGGAGAGCAGGAAAAGCAGAGGATGACTCCGGCCACCAGGGAGAACAGGGCTGAAATAATGCCCAAGTAAAGAGCCTCTCCAATCTCAAATTTCATGCTATCAGGAACCAGTGGTGAGTAGAAGTCCCGAAGGATGCCGTGAAGATTCCAGGCAACTGGGATAAAACCCAGTATGCCACCGAGGATGAAGAAAACTCCACCCACAACAGCCACTCTGTCCTTAGCTCGAGATTCCTGGCAGAACACTGTGCATCTCATGCCCACCACAGAGATAATGCAGGCTAGTGAGGACATTGCACTGGATGTCACCATCATGGCCTGGGCAGCTTGGATGTCGGCAGGAAGTCCTAGAAGTGTACTGTAGATATCACACTGGGTGATGCCCGTACTGTGCGTAGCACACTCCATCCAGAGGCCCTTGGAAAAGCCAACGGCTGTCACAATGCTGGCACCAACATAAGAACTTGTTCGCCAGTTGGGAAGCAGCATGGCAATCGATGTGCCTAAGAGCCCCAAAAGGCCTAGGATGTAACCCACCAGTTGGACGCCAAGGGAGGCCATGGCAGACCTCTCAATATAAGTCTCTTCGGAGCCCGTTCGCTCGTCTTTTGGCTGCTGCTCTTGTTTCTTGGATCCCGGACTCTAATCCCTCATTTCACAGTGTCTCTGGCAAGTTGACTTCTTTCCTTCTTACAAGTGTCTGTGGGTGGCCACAAGCAGGCTCAAGAAGGCATCTAGAAAACCTTAAAAAAAAAACCCACCATAAACCAGATTAAATATTGACCAGAAGCTTATGAGAAACCAGAAAACGCTGGATGCCTTTTGACCTTTGTTATCTTTAAAAATAACACATGAGAAAGGAAAAAAAAACTTTGGAGGTAGAGCCAAAATGTCATCACCTCCTGCGTAGGCACATGTTTTACGTTGGCAGTCAGACAAAGGCAGAGGCCAGACAGGTGGCTGCCTTCCGAGAAGGCAGTGATGGCAGGAGTGGCTGTGCTGTGTTAAAGCCACTGCTAGTCTCCAAGGCCTGCTATTTAACATATTGCCAAGCAACTGCACCACGGGGCCCCTCAACTGCAGTCTGAGGCCAAACTCCAGGAGACTGGATCGTGTGGAACAAGTCTTAGAATGTGGCCTTGGACTCCAGCCTGCTAGTGGCTAATAGCCAAGGGACTAAAATGAGTACTGGCTTAACCCAGAATCATTTTTTGCCTAAGGCAATAATGTACTTCCAGGGCAGATCAGGCTGAGCAGCAAAGCTTCCTGTCCATTCTCTGAGAGATCAGGTCTTTCTAGCCTTGTCCAGATCCATCCGTTCCTGCAAGGTAGCATAAGGGTCCCCAAACGTAGAAGACCCTGGCTATTTCCTGTCTCCTCTCTGAGCAGATGATCCCATGGCCAGCCTCTCAAATGACATGGGAGGTCTCTAGAGAAAAGCT